CTTCACTGTAGGGCTTTTAATACAATTATATATATATATATATATAACTAAACGAACTTTATGGTTGTACGGCAGTGAAGCATCATTGCCAACATTGATGTTGCTGTCATCGTTGTTGATGATGATGATGATGGTTGCTGCATTCGTAGAATTCAAACCGACATGACTCGTTTAATCAATCGTCCTCCTGTCCTATGCACAATCATTCTGATGAGTCCACACCAAGAGGGACAGGGGGAAGCCCTGGACTCGAGTTTCACTTGTATTAAAGCTCATCAGTAGTGCATATTCTTGACCGTTCCGGGGTCTGAACTCCCACATCTGAAATGCGAGGCGAACGTGTTACCACTACTTCACCAGCGCACGCTGGAACCATCTTAACTTTTGCGTCCTGGCGGGTGAACGTATTCGCGCTTGAGTGATATGAGTGGGAAGCCTGACGCCTCGAACAACGACCCAGCTGTGTCGATCGATTGGACCGCCTGTAAGAACTTCCCTGTCAGGTACCGTCACAGACGCTTGAAACCAACTGAACGCACCTGCTTTTTTTAATTTCTTGGTTGTTGGTCGTTGCGGGATTTATAGGGATTTATACATGAAACCGGACCATAAGCTTCTCATCATCGCTTTTTCCTACACTGTTGGTGGCACGCTGGCTGAGCATATATTGTTTGACTATCATGTACCCTAAAGTCAGAAGGGGTGTGCGTAGCAAATCCCTGCGGAAGCTGTCAGGTGTGAATAAATGTAGACATTCAAGTCTGTTAACAAAATATGCTCTAGCTCTAAAACGTGTGCCACAAGAGTTGAATTTCACCTGTATGCGCAAGAGTGCCTGAGGTGTTATCAAAAATCCCTACAAAAAGTGCTCTCCGAAGGTAGTATTCATCCTCATCATCCTAACCCATGAAGTGCACTCCGAAGCTATCAGAACCTGAGGTGAAAGGTGAGATCCCTGACGATCTTCAATACCTTTGAGTAGAAGGAAGAGGTGAATGCTTTTTTGAGAAGGTCAACGAGCGCTAGTTCTTCCTTTGGTGTGGACGTCGGACTGAAAATTATTAATCATGCCGCATGACACATCTTTGAGCGATTCCCCCAGTTATCAGAGAAGGCAGTGGTAACAGTGAAGTAATTCATAAATTTTGCATTATCCCTGATGACGGCGTAAAGCCACCGCACAAATCCGCTCATCAGTTTGTGGTGTGGGATATCACTGTATGGTTGTCGAACACGGTCGTCCCAGGTGACTCTGAACCATCGTTCAAATGGGTCGACATCGACGAATTAATAACACAAGCTCATCACACAGACATATGGTGAGATAGTAGGTCCCTCGTTGCAGAGTTTTTCAGGGCTACGAACTGTGGTGATTCAGTCATAAACGAACAGAGGAATAAGAACGGCCTCTCAGAAAGTACAGAATTATTTTGCACAAATTCTGTTTTTTTTTTTTGGGTTTATACTGTATTTCAGAATGCGGATTCTCTTTAATTTCACTATACTCGGCTGGAGCTCACGTACGGCGTGAATAAGAAACGTTACCCCTGACATCTTTCAAATGAGGTTCTACCCAACTTACCTAACTGGGCCTTGAAGGTCCTAACGTTTTAATAATAGTCAGTAGTGTGAGAAGATCCTGTAATTTTCAGTTGGGATTTCCTGTCAGTGAGGCCACTTTATACTGAGAAATCGAGAGGAACTGTACAAATGTTTCACCCTGCAAAGGTTGAAGATATAGCACTGACTACTGAATAGTAATCAGACTGAACAAATAGTATCAACAGTTGGTGTGAGGAACCTTCACGCCTGAGTTATCTTGTACTTTTCTTGTGGGTTTGCTATTTTAGCTCCTTCTCAAACAACACTAGTAGAGATCTCAAGTAACATGCTCAGCTATCTTGAACTCATTTCAGCCAGAAAAAAACAAATCTCTGTCACATTATCCAATAACATAACATTCCGTTCACTCCTCAGGCACAGTATAATATCCTACTAACGATAGATACTGCCTCAACTTCTACCAGTTAGTCACACAGTTCTCACAGAAACGTTGAGCTTGTCACTCCTATTAACTGCGAAGCAATCAAAACGCATTAATAAAGACCAAGTGTGACTTCATTACTTGCGGTTCGGTCTCGGTAACTTCGACCTGGGTACCCACTCAGTATTTCTCAGTATGTTCATTTTAATTCAGTGGATTTGATATCGATCATCTATTCGACATGGCCGAAACTGCAGTAAATCATCCCTACATGGTAATTACTAGCCATCTGCTAACTATTCACACTGTTCTTCTCATATGAATTAAACTGCGGTGTGATCCTCACCCAGAAGATCAACTATAAATGCTTTCTTATCGGAGTCAAAGAGGATATAATTCGACATAGTTCTATTGGTATTATTGCTATCACCTAGCCCGTTTTCACTGTTTCCTTCATATACCTGGAAAAGATTAGCTAAAAAGACATTACCACTCGGTTTTCCGCGTTTGGAGGCGAGATGACTCATGGAAACGAGATGGCTCAGGTGTTAGAGCTAGAATTTATTAACCGAAAGGTCCTTGGTTCGAATCCGACCTCTACTTCTCGACTTCCCTTGTCTAGTCTTGAGCAACCTGACAGCCCTTCGGCTTCCTTCGGATGGCATAGCATCTGGACACCGAAAGGGTGTTACGACTGAGCGATTTTTTCCCGCGCATTTGGTAAGTAATCACCTGGCTATCTCCACAAAAACTGATTGGCCAGAAATTCATCAGATCCGGAAAACCTACCTATCCCTCTTCTTGAGTAATTAGATTTGCCGTCTAATAAAAATGTCACATTCTATTTCCAAGGCAGTAGTAATGAACAAATTAACAATGTTTCTTTGAGGACCCCTCTTCGACCGACCATGGCAGAAATTTCAGGTGAAAATTCAGAAATGGGCAGAAAGTTATATTTAGCGACTTCCTTAACACAAACGACAGTCCGACGACATTTAATTCGTAATAAATTATGAAAACAGGCTGAACACTTGCTATTAGTTCTCAGGATACTCTACTAAAGCATTACTTTTAGTTGTTGAGTTTGGGTGGGAAACGAATTTTCTTTGTGGACATTTGTTTTGAATTCTAACAGTGCTATGTCTCGCTCCGTGCACGAAGGCCCACCTGGTCAGATATGCCCAAAATTAAGATCCTCTACTTTGCGTGGCACAAACATGTCTTAGTTCAGACTCTATCCAGCAGATCAAGAGCGATTTGCGCTATGGATAAACGTATTAAGGAGAATGACTTATTCATAAGGTTATTGAGGTCAAACTTATATACCTGAAATCTCATTGGGAACCATCTCAGAATGGAAGGTAGAGCAAGTGCACATCACATTCCTCAAAAAACGTATCTATCTAAAGGTTTCCTATACCGATAAGCTTGCCTCTAGTCAATTCAAACACACGTTAAACGGAGTCCTAGGCCAAACTTACATGACAGTATGATCGAGTGCTGTGGCTAATGCGTCAGTGCCACTGATCTGGACGTCACTGTTGGTAGTATCAACCAGTCACTAGATACTTTAATTGACCTGAAGTTGCAGTGATTAACACATTGACACAACTGACCGAAAGCTGGGGAATATCAGCGGAGCAACACTCAAGTCTTCGAGCTTCACACACTTATTCGAGGCAAGAAATACCAGTGGAGTTTTCTCATCATTCAAGGTCATAGCACGAAGCAGTCGTACATACGGACCGCAGTTACTCAAAGCATCATTGGTTAGTCTATTGAAGCCTAAAATCAGTGTTCACAAAGACATGTACGTTAGCCTAAGACTACCCTGGCTTTGTTGACTGGGCACTTTACGTTTAGGTTCCGTATAAGTGATGTCTCTAGCCCTGTAGTCCCCTTAATTTCACTGTATTTCGGTAAACGAAATGCGTTCATCCAGGAATAGCTATTCGCTGAACTGTGCTGATATTTTATATTACCTTTTTTGCGAAATGTATCCAAAACAAACCCCAATTGTACACTGATGCAAAAGAGATGTACTGGCAATGTGCGTTGACTTAAAAACCGGCGATTTCTTCACCGGTGCCTTATTAGCATTGCAGGCGTAGTCTGACTGCACTCTGCCTGTGTTAGTGTTTGAATAAGCCAGTACTTACCAAGGAGAGATAGAACAGCAAATAAGACTAAGCACTAATTCGGTTGGGGCTTGCAGCACACACACCGACACATTGTCCAGCAGGTTAACGGTTCCTTCCACTCGTAACTCTTGCTGTTGAATCTGGACGTAGCAAGGCGAAATGAGAAGTCACAGTCAAACAAAGTTCTGCGAAATGTTGGCTTTTCCCCGCTGTGGTCCGCGCAGTTCCCTCTACACTGAGTTTCACAAGATGCAGGCAATAGCAACAACCCATCTGTCTCCTCGGATGGCGTGCTGTCACATCCAGGATGGATCGTCAGAGAGGCGTTCTTCTATTGTTTTTCGCTGAACTTGTGTAACCTAAGGTTCGCAAAGGATGACTGTTCCATCTCACGGATGGTATTATCTCCCAGTATCGTTGTACCGGAAGTAAGCTTTCACCAATTACTCACAATGCTTACAGAGATGGAACACTTCCAGACCGTTGAATGTCAGTCTTTTTGAGACAGAATCAAGGCATAGGCCTTGCTGCACTTGTTGTCTTGGAAAATATTAACATTCGAACGAACTATGCCTTACCTAATAGAAGTAAACAAAATTACTTTGATATAATACTCATTTATCTGTATAGCAATAGTGATGGCGATAATGACAATAATAATAATAAACAAATAATAATGGGCATTGTACAAGCATCCATATGCGTCCTGCCCGCATCCATCCTGCCACTGGTACGACTTCCACCACCATCCACCGTGAAATGCAATCTGGGTGGTCTACATCTGATCTAGCCACATGTCAAACCTTGCAGAAACACGACGGGAGGATGGGACAATGTAGGCAGGTAACCATTGACTTTCCCCCCGAAACATCAGTCATATATTCATGCATCCACCTAGCAAGTCGTTCATTCATTTATTCATCCATCCATCTACCCATCTACCCAGCTGTCTGACACGGTCGTCATGCACGCCCAACTATTTCTGATCCCCCATCCTCTATTTCTGACGGAGACAGGTAGGCAGTATGCACACCCAGTACAAATTTACAGAGGATCTGTGAAACTAACACCAAATGTGTATGGGTTTCTGGTCTTCTAATCAGTGACCAAAACTGTGTAACTTTATTTTCCCGTCTTTCAATGTACCTATGTGCAAGCAGATCAGGACACGCTTACCACACGAGTTACGGCACACGCACCAACATAGGGAGAGAAAGACGTTTACAAAAACCACCCACATAACCTATTGCACGTATGAAGACCTGCAATAGCGTAGTTAGTTAGTTAGTTAGTTACTGGTTACTCGGTGGTCTTCTGGGTTTCCCATTTTTGCTTGAGGCGACCGATACCACACACGTAATCCGTCCCCTCCCCCTCCCGAATAGCCGGCCGATAGATCAAGGTGGTGGTGGTTTCTGGGTGGATAGGTGGGCAACGGGATAAAATTACTGATAAAACGCCTTGACTGGGATGACGTTGATTGAACCAGATGTTGCCCCGCCAGCGGATTTGTGAGGGTTCACGTTTTTTTCTATATTAGTATTTCTTTTACCAATATACTTTGAAGTTACCGCGTCCATCCGTCGCTATCCTACCCAGTCAAGTGAGCAAAATTTGGCGTGTCTAAAAACTCGTATGAGTATGTATTGAGCAGCAATGAAAGTGAAAAACGGGTGAACAACGAGATAATGTGAAGGTTGTCTCGAAATCTCAAATATTTTTGTTCACATATGCTCTAATTAGTGAATCCTATAATAGTTCACCGTTCAAAATAGCATTCAAGTTTATGGAGTTCTTTACGCCTGGTTGTTGAGAGCGCGATACCCAGAAGCAATGGCCTCTGTAGATGACATACACTCCTCTGATAATAAAACTCGGGCAACAAAACTTCCTTCGAAAATGTATCCAACGAACAAGTACCATTGAGTCTTCCAGCACTGTGAATGTGCTTCGTACCCACATTCTCTTCCTACCCAAACACGATGGTTCCGGTTGGTCTAACTCAAAGAGGGAAGGTGCCACACTCGAGTTTCGTACTTGTGGGTGCTAGTGGTGCATATTCCTGGCCGTGCTGGGAGTTGCACTCCGAACATCTGAATTACGAGATGAGCGTGTTGTCCTTACTCCAATGGTGCAGGCTGGACGAGCCTGAATACCTACGCCTGAACAGGCAGACATTTTCGAATCTGTGTTAAACAACCGAATCACTCAGGCGATCGTGGAACGCACTTATCAGAATAATTACTCCGGAACACGACGGGTACTGTCAAAAGAAGGCGATGTGAAAGCAAACTCTGCAAACCCTGCAGTTATCTGGATGTGTGCATTTTCATGTGCGGACACTTCTATCATTAGAGAATCAAATATCATTCTGACGCCGCCATTTGTGATTGAATCCGCAGCGTGACAGCGTGGTGACGTACACATACTTCTTCCATGACCATAGACACTGACCTAAAAACAGGCGATGGATAGCGGCCGTTTAAAACTGAGGGCTTGCTGATTTAGAGCATCATGATAGGCATATACTCCAAACGGGTCCAGAAAAATAACCTCCATTCCAGTCACTTGCTGCATGGATGTTATTCCCCCAAAATGCCTCCTCGTATCCGTGGAAGGATGCGAAGAAGTATAAAAACACTTGTCTGTTTGAAGGCATTCTCGTCTGATAGTAACACTTACTTGTGTAATGTCCCCATAATCAACATAGTTTCCGCTATAAATGTAAAGTAGACAAGGCTAGCATGACCGTACTGTGCAGCGCAAGACTTGATTTTTGGTGAATGAGAGGAAAAGGCAGTAGCTGTTGTCCCTGTCAAAGGAAATCCTGTAATCTGTGAGTATTTCTCGCCAGCGTTATAGGAAATATCACGTTTTAACGAGACCGAAACACAGTAATCTACTCCTTTTGAGGTTAATTCGTCGCGTTGCCAAAGGAAAACCTAACACTTTCAAGCGAAACTGAAGCTATACTTGGTGATTATACAGACCGTAGTCTACCATGCACAGCTCTAGCAGAAGAGTGACGTTGATGTGATCTGGCTAAACCCGACGCACGTATTTTCAGTCTCACAACAATAAGAGGTAATCTGAGGAGTATCCAATCACATGCGAATTGTACTCAGATTACCACTATTATGGTTGGTGCTAAGTGGGTGAACAATAGATTGATCCCAAGAGAGTTCGTTGTAACTCAACAAATGACGTACACAGAGAAGAGTTTTGTTGAATTGTGGGTTTCAGTGGGATGATAAATGTTCTGAGGGTAAGAACCAGAAGCCAAATAGCATCTCTGGAAGACAATATGGGAAATTGTCGGGCTATAAAAGCGATGGAACATTTAAAAGGAGTAATTTGGAGCCTTACTTTCAACAGAAAAGTGGTTTGCAGAATGAAGGGTAGGTACTGGAAATTTGTTGGCCTGGTAGCCTAAGGAGGCGGGAAAGCGGTGATTGCACAGCGTGCGCACTCACGTCTCTGAGATCCTTTTCCAGTTGTTCTATAGAGCCTGGCTATGATAGTGCTGATCTTTGGTGCGCTCGGGCAAAGAAAGTTGATCTGACCAAAGAGGTGCTCATTTGCTCTGAATTATGTCCTCGCAACATACCACTCCTATATGGGCTGGGGCACCCGGATTTCCTTCAGGTGGCATGGTAACTAGGCACCGAAATGGTGCTAAAGCCGGACGATTATTTGTTACTTTTTTACGTATGGGTCTGAGATTTTGAGGCGCAAGGGGCATATCTGGCGAATGAAAGCAAGCAAACGTGCTTCTGAATTTGTAACAGCTTTGCAGCAGTGCCTTCACACTTTATCGCAATACTGTTCAAAAGTCTAAACACTCAGATGTGATGAAAGCAAATCACTTCTTCTGAACGATGGATGATGAATGCAGCTACCCGGATTTATTCCGTTACTTATTTTCAGATTAAGCAGTATATCGCATTCGTAACCAATGGATGGTCAATTACATCTGCCGTTCCCCATGCTGAGATGCTCCTTGATAGGACAAAGACAATGGCTCTTCGAGATTTGAGGTGCGGGTTTAGGTTTCCATGAGTACCCCATTAGAAAAATTCTTTTAGCGGCTGTCAGCCTACTTCACACTTACGTTAGTAACCGTCTAAGGATGAATGCTAAAATTGGACAGAAAATTTAGAAGATTCGATGCATAGGGCAATCTAATCGTGGTGCCATAACTTATTTTTTATTATTATGAGCTGTATATGCGCCCAAAATGTGCTGTAGCCCAACATGGAACACAGTATATGTGCTCCCCTGTACTTACCATCATCGTCATCACTGATACCATAAAATCGGTGTGTGACATTGGTGCTTCGCTGCTATACAGGCTTAGTTTTATGAAATATCCAGGTTACATTTTTTCATCTAGTCAACCAATTCATGAGACATCTTTAGAAATCAGCACTTTTCTGTTACAGTCAGTCATAGCCTTTGCATTTTAAAGCCAGGCGTAGACAGCTAATACCAGTAATGTCCGTTGACCAGATGAATACCTTAGCTTTTTGGTGAACCAAACACTGATTGCTACTGTTCAGTGGTCACAAGCTGAGAGGATCAGTTTGACTGTCATACTGCTAACGAGAGTCAGCTGAAGCCCGGCTGAATATTTCGTTTTTGCTACCAGTAAAACGAGTCAGCAAAACCAGGACCAAACCAGGTTTGTTTAGCAAAATACTCGAGATATTTCACTGTACTTGCTTGGATTAATACATTATTCAAACAGTTTCTGAAAACTTGTAGACATGCCACGCGTTTTTCTTGGGGATCACCAAATAGGGGTTGTCCCGGAATTCCCAGCTGTTGTAAATGAATACCAGTGGTACATAATTCGCAATACTCGCGTATTTGCAAATTAATTTGGCGGTGATTGAATCCCAGTTAAATATCTCGTTCATGATATCACTCAAATGAATGTGGTGCACCAAGGCTTACTTCTGTTTAATTTAGTATGACATTCGAAATAGTACAGTATCTTTTCTCAATATAACACTTCACGTAAAGCTGATAAAGACAGTTTGACAGCCCCTGTTGGTAGTGGGCTGTACATACTGGTTCGATGCAGAACACTGTGAACCAGAAAATAAGTGAATAAAACAGCGGTGAATTCTAAACTCTTGTCAACAGACAAAATATGTTCTTCGAAGTGACACTAAAGGCGTGTGTCGATGGTTCTCGACTTTTGGGATGCGACGTTTCTAGGGGGGAAATCATCCAAGAACAAACGAAGTTGGGAGGAAGATAACTGCAAAAGCAGAGAACATATTGCTGAAGGTCATATCCAACCATAAAACGGGCAAGTCGAATTCGGAAAGCACTTTAAATCTCACTGTGGGTCAGGCGGCTTCTACGAATTTGTTGTTCTGTCCCTGATGGTGGAAGAAGCCCCACAGGTGAAGATTGCAGCAAACAGAGGATCAAAAGAAGCATGGTCTAGACGGTCTAATGTGTTGACGGTATGACATAAAGGAGTAAAACTTTCGGTGGTTGACATTACTAGGCGGCTCTAAGGTGAGCAATGAGTAGACAGTTTTCATAAGGGAACAATTTCGTTTCGCATAGCTCGATGGAAAATGGCGATTAGAGTTATGCCTTAAGACACTGAATAACTAGATTTTTCCAGTTAATGTTGGTAATCCCAATGAAAACTCACTCCTCTGGTATGACAACGCGTTTTACTGCTTATTGCACATATATGAAATGTGTAGCGGTAAAATAAACAAAGCATCCTGCTCCTCGGTTAACCTAGTCCAAAGGTCATCATTGGAAGCTATCGAGACCGTCTTCGTGGACAGATAAGTTTATAAAAACAGTTCCTTTTTAGTACGACTAAAGAGTGTGATTCGGCAACCATCTGAATTCGTGTAGATTAGTCCCAGATCTCAAGATCCTATGTTTAAAAGACAGAGTACTATGTGAAAATAACCGATGGTCGCAGGTGTACTGACCGCTGCGTATGACATAAAAAACAGCGCCAATTTGTAAGCTGAAGTGCAATTTAAAAATTCACATGTAAAGGACTTTACGTGGTATTCGTATAAGACAGTATATTTTCTTGTAGAATACTTCAAAGCGGAGTTTCACGAAGCTGAAATGCCATGCATAGGTCATCCATCGACTGAAATTCAATATTGTTATTATTATTAAACTCAACAAAGTATTGAAATATCTGTACTGCAGTGAACGGTGCCCGAAGTATTGGCACAAACATTGTAGAATTAATATTTGTGAAAAGCGTTCCTTTGGGATGTACCAAACAAATATTTAATTTGTTTGGTGGGAACTCGTTCAGTTTCTTTAAAAAAGAAAATCCAGCTGTGTGTTCTCAATTTACATGAGCAAAAGTTAAATGCATGTGTCAGTCGCACCCTAAGCGTTGAGGGAGCAATTCACCGGCATTGAATCAAGCATTTTGTGTAAGGGTTATAATTCATTAAAAAATATTCCAAACTTAACTGTGCAAAACTATCCATTGGTTACTAGGAAGAAGTAGCATTTCCAACAAATGGTATGATATGTTCTGGTGCATCCGTGCAGCGAAAACTTGCTCGCTATTTGTCACCTAGACACTGAATAAGCTATGCTGTAGGCAGGTCAGTTTAAATACTGATTATCTGAGAATACGACTGACCAATAAATCATTCGATTGGGAAAAATTCCACCTTTTGGGCAAGCCATCTTAACCTGTTCTTGTTCGAGATATGACCACAACAGATTCCCCCCCAAACGCCGATGCACATCCCGTCAACTTGTGTGTAGGAGTTTGACGTCAAAAGGTGTGGGTCCAATTAGGCATGCTCGGGTGTACAGGAAGACAGTGCATATACGGCCAACGCTACTCCAGAAAACGGGAGCATTTTATCAGTGTTTTAGGGTGGTGGTATAGCGCAGTGTGGAATCTTCTCGAAGTAGTTGTATTGTTGCTGGTCAGGCTGATGCAGGCTTGTCAACCATTACGCTATTTTGTAAGCATGCCGCTAGCTGTGGGAGCGCGCTTTCGGAATGGTTTCGACTGACAGAATTATCACACGGTAAACAGACCATTCATCATTCAGTGAAGATGCTTTTCCGTCTAGTCCATCGCAATGATGGTGGAGTTGGTATCGGAAGAAAAAGTCAAGTCAAATCGTTGGTAGAAGTTGTAATCGGATAATGCAGACCGCGAGGTATGGGGGTCGAGTAGCAAAAAGATGCAGTTCTACGTCCTGTTCGCGTGATTGTTCTGACATTATCAATGCGTTGTTGACGTGCTGTAGGAATTCCCAAACGCGTTCGTTCGTCCCGCGCTGTGTTAAACTGCATGTACGGCTGTCCAAGCCAAAACATACAGTCTGTAATTGTGTGTCTGAGTGGACAAGTCGGTTAATATGACAAGCATACAAATGCCTGATGTCACGTCTTGTCAAAGGCGTTTTCATACAAAAGCACAAAGTTGATGCATTTTCGGTCAACCGACTAGCCCCGCTTTCAACTCCACCCCAGCTTCCTCGCAGCATTCAGCGTACATTCTTTACGTCGAACACCAGCGAGAAAATTCACGCACTCGAACCAACGTATCATTACGACACACAGGTCGCTGCTAATGGAAGCTTCGAAAATTGGGATATCCCTCACGAACAGCCGACAGCGGTAGGGCTAGCTTTCAACGCATGTCGCGGCAGTTTATAGGTCTGCATGTGAAAATACCGAATGCGAATTTAGATGAAAATGGCAGAATGGGTTACCCTAATACATTCAGAGACAAACTGAGCAAAACAAAAAAGGTTCATTCGATATTGTGAAAATTATGCAGAAGTGTTGTAATGTGATTATTGCCTTTTGACAACCGTGCATCTCGGAGAACTACATTAAAAAGCTTTAATTTTGTTTAAAATGGTTAACTAACATCTACCGGTTTGTGGTGAAACGAAATACACTGGGAGGGGGTGAAAGTTGACTTTGTCTCCTATAAGTTCTTCGCAAAAGCGTTTTAATGCGTGTGGTTTTGGAATGAAAATGGCAAGCTTGTAGTGAAACGCAGATAGCACAATTCCCAAGTTATTAACAAACGGATCTAATGAAGTTCACGTCCCTTAGAACGATTCACCTGATATAATTACTCTTTTAGTTGAACTTGTGTTAACCCACTTATCGAGATTGACCGGAAAATCCAGCTTCAGGAAAACTGTGTTTGCAGGAGGTGAAATACCGTATATTATGGCTTATAGAAGAGCAGATCGTTATTTGCACAATAGTTGAACGAGAATCCGCTTGGAGGCGTCATAAACCAAAGCACTGTACGAGACGAAATGCAGCGGTTTTATTTGATGCATTCTGGCACATATAGATTAGCGATGGTAAGAAAGGTGGAATGAACTTCGACACATAATCAACGGTTGAATTAAGACAGCCTTCTGGATGACATCGTGAGCTGAAAATTCGGGTGTGGCTTACCACCGGTGTCATGAAATTAGATGCCAATCGTCGAGATTTTATACTGTAGGTGTTGTTGAAGCAACAGGGACGTAGATAGATAGTCGTTCAGCTGTAACATTCTTTCGTTGCCCAGATGCTATGCTACCCAAGGGAAGCACGAGAGCTGGGATACTGCCAGATTGCCCAAGCCTAGACAGGGGAAGTCGAGAGACAGAGGTTGGGTTCGAACCACGGACCTTCTGGTCAGTAAATTTGCACTCTGACCACTGGGCCATTTCGCGTGATAGGTAATGATTTTCCCAGATACGATAATAGAGCGGCTGGGATAAATAAATTCAAACATGATGACAGTATCCCAATTTCAACTGTCTTTACCCTGAGTTCTCCGCTTTGAACAGGCGAAAATACTTTAACATACAAGGTATTTTTCCTCCTAGTAAGCAAAACCGTGCAACCGAGAAACCGCAATATGAACACATTTCACTGCTACAACCCCTCATACTTTAAGTTGAAAAAGGCCGTGCCCATAAACCTGCTTAGGAACATTCACTATTCTACAGTATGGATGACTTTCTCGTTCGGAGCACCCGAATACCTGATG